TTTGGTCGCAAAACTAAGAGCTGGTATCTTTTGTTGGCAGCATGAAGTTAACCACCAAGTCCTCACAAGCCATGCTGCTTAGTTGCTTGGTGGTTATGGATAAACTTTGCCCAGCATGATTTTTGGGTTCATCTTATCGGTTCCCCTGGTGGGCAGATACACAATGTTCTGCATTCCACATATAAGTGAATTGCAAAAACAAAACAAAACTCTCTCTCGTAGGTTTATTTATGTGCGTATGAATGTATATTTTAATTATGTGTATTTAACTCTTTAAAATCTCTTAGATTTTAATTTATCCTGTAAATTTCTGTATATATAATTTAATAACAAAGCCTCCACCAGCAACAGCATGTGGAAGGTACAGATTTGTTATTTCTCCTTCCCTTCTTTCCTTCCTTCCTTTCCTCCTTCCTTCCTCCTGGTCTGTTCCAATTAACTCTGAATCATCTACATTTTAAGGTATTTTACCTCAAAAATGAATCATGTTAGGATTCTAATTCTTTATAAAGAACTTCATGGCCTTCAATAATGTCTAGAAAGTAAAATAAAGAGGAATAATAAAGAGGAATATTACCATCCAAGCTGCCCTTATTTCCAAAGAACCAGACTTTTGCTTCCCAGTTGGAAAGAAGACAGTTGTGCACTTCAGGGTGGTTTTTAAATTTGGTGTGGGATTCTCTGCCACCACCAAGCTCTGAGTGAACTGTGCTTTATTCTCCTGGCCTAGACAGAGCACTACAGCATCAAAGTAAATCTTTGGGGACAGTGCAGCCCACCTGCATCCTATTTAATTTCTTCCCTTTGCCCCACCAGTATTGTCACAGAGCTATGTTGCCTAAGGGTAGCCTGGCTGCTGAATCCCTTTCTCACCAGAGCAGTTTTAAGATTTAATTGGGAATTCAGAGAAAGAAAAAGGATTGTTTGGGAACCAAAATCAAGAGGAACAGAAGTCTTAATTTGATTTCATGTGTTAGAACCTTGTACCATGCCTATTCTGTATCTGTAGAAGTTTCCCGTTTGACACAGGGTATCTAGGAGGGGCGGGGAAGATATGGATAGTAGAGGAAGACATTAATCCTAGCATTGTCATTTATATACATTAATGAAATCCTGACAAGGACCTGCTTTTTGTTTGTTTTCCTTTGAAACCTAGCCCTACTGTATTTGTATTTAAAATTTGTACACATTTGTATAATAATCTGTACCTTGTGGTATTTGGTACTATTAGAGGAAAAACTTTGGATTCAGACCTTCTTGCAGTTTTTATATCATTGTTTTATTTTGTTTTTTAAATAAATTCTAGTGGTTTGATCCAAATCCCATTACAGTTGTATAAAGAAATAAAATTTTGTACTTATATTATTAAAAATCACATTTTTAATATTTGTAGTCCAGTCTCAGCTGTCTTTTCCCTAATCGTGATAATCATAGTCGCTATGAAATTATAAAACCTGTTTTTCACTCTATTCTACCATAATTTTCTTAAGAAAAAAAGCAACCTACAATGGAGATTAAATTTCTAATCTTAGCCATTTTCCTAACATGCGCTTTACTCTGCTTCTGTTAGTTTTTACATTGTAGAGGCTCTCATTTTCCCTTTCGCAAATTGTAAATTTAGCGAATCTGATAACTGTCCCTCCATTTGTTGGCAAACAAAACTATATACATTATGGTGTTGGCCTAAATCAAGAAAATGTTCATTAATCTTATATAAGGGTTGCATCTGAATTATGTGCTAAATGATGTTTCAGTACTGCCTTGGCTTAGTAATGCTGTTGATAAATCCCTTAATCTTTATAGGCTTCCAAAGTCCCATCTGTAAAATAATGTTACTTCCCGGTCCCTAGACCTGCAGGCAGCCAGCCTGTCAGAAATATTTAATAATATTACGAATATTGAATATTGGAGATTCAGTCTTTCAAGGTAAAAATTTCAATGCAAACACATGGTGTTAAAAGTCATAAATAGTGAATTAGTATAATTAATTAAAAGGTGAATGTCTTATGAAGGGCAGCAAGGAAGAAACCACGACATCACTGAGTGGCTATTCGTGAGAGTGATTTACATACTTTGTCTCACTCATCCTCCCCCAAAGACATGAATATTATCTCCCTTTATAGATGCAAAAAAGTACTTTTCCTAAGTTTATACTGCTAATAAATGGCAGGGGCAGAATAAGAACACTGGAATAGCTGACCCCAAACCCTAGGCTCTTTCTAACCCAAGCTACTTTCAGATTTAAATCATGTATATAATTCATCAGAATGCTTTGCAGTATCTCCATTATCTCAAGTCCTGAGCAGATGTGATTGTAGGAAAGCCGTCTGAGATCTCTGCATTGTTCAGATATCTAGCTGGTTTTCACTCTTGTCATACCATTGTCTTTAAATTTTGAAGGCAACGGATCTTGATTTTTGTAAGAGCTTAAAGGATATAATAGCTTACATTTATGCAGACTGTCAGTCTTAAGAAATTTGAACATTTTAACCCTCAGTAAAGCATGATGTTAATATTACTAAAACACTTGAAAAAGTAAATTGAAACACCGTTTATTAAATGAGTTTGCTCCTTATTAGCATACTTTTTTAAGACAGTTTTATACTAACTTAATGTTTGCCATTTACATCCCTATCTACTGTGTTGATAAAATCCATATACTGGCTGGGTGCAGTGGCTCATGTCTGTAATCACAGCACTTCGGGAGACTAAGGCAGGAGGATCACTTGTGGCCAGGAGTTCGAGACCAGCCTGGGGAATATAGCAAAACTCCATCTCTACAAAAACTAAAAATAGCCAGGCATGGTGGTATGCATCTGTATTCCCACCTACTTAAGAGGCTGAAGTGTGAGGACATTTGAGCCCAGGAGATCGGGGCTACAGTGAGCTACAATTGTACCACTGTACTCCAGCCTGGGTGACATGGAGAGACTGTCTTTATAAACAAATCTATATACTTCCATTTCTGTTTGAATAGCTATATAGTAATCAGTTTGCATGGAGTTTATGATTCTACTTCATTTTGGAGGTATATGAGTTGTTTCTGATTTTTTCTTTTTTTTTTTTAACCATGAAGAATAAAGCTTACAAGAACCTGTTAAAAGCTTAAAGGAAGGGTCAGGCATGGTGGCTCATGCCTGTAACCCAGGGCTTTGGGAGGCTGAGGTGGGAGGATCACTTGTGCTCAGGAATTCAAGACCAACCTGGGCAACATAGTGAGACTTTGCCTCTGAAAATAAATAAATAAAGGTTAATGGAAGAATTCGAAAGAAGTTCATACTAAACATACTCCATATGACCAAGCAATAAGGTTAAGTGAAGAAAGACACAGAAAGTACCTGACATGAAGGTCATCTTAAATGAAATACCATTACTGAAAGGTAGATTTATTTAAGCTTTCATATGCTAGTCAGCGGTTAGACAATAGTGGTGAGCAAAACAGAAATAGTAGCCCAGCCCCTATGGAGATCCAGACTCATGGGGGCAAGGGTATTTGAACAGGTCTCATGAGTGTTGTGGAAACACTTCAAAGCAGTTCTTACATTGTACAGTAAAGACCATCAGGCCCCATGGCTGTTCAGACAAGTGAATCTACGGAAGTGATTAAGTTCTAATTTAGATTTTGTTTTTGTTTTTTTGAGACGAGTCTCACTCTGTCACCCAGGCTGTAGTGCAGTGGCATGATCTCAGCTCACTGCAACCTCCGCCCCCTGGGTTCAAGCAATTCTCATGCCTCAGCCTCCTGAGTAGCTGGGACTACAGGGGTTCACCACCACACTCAGCTGATTTTTGTATTTTAGTAGAAACGGCATTTCAACATGTTGGTCAGGCTGGTTTTGAATGCCTGACCTCAGGTGATCCACCCACCTCAGCCTCCCAAAGTGCTGGGATTACAGGCGTGAGCCACCACGCCTGGCTTAATTTTTCTATCCAAAATTTGTGCAGTTTACTGGCCTTTCAGATTTAAAAACCACAAACATTACAATAAATACTAAAGTACCCACAGTAGCCAGACTACTAAGGCCATGGTTATTGTATTTTTGGACTACATGCCAGAAGAAAAGGTCATAACCCATAGTTAGTTAGCTAGTGTGTAGGTGTCAGCAGACACACCGCACACAGCCAGGAAGGCTGAAAAGATTAGAATCTCAATGCTGGGAAAGGCCTCTGATTATTAGCTTGGGGTCCACGGTTGTACTTCAGGGGCCCCAGAAACTCCCTGAGGTTATAAGCAAAATTGTATCGCTGCCTTTTTTCTTCAGAAAGCCTCATGGCTTTTGTGAAATTCTCAAAGGAGGCTGTGACCTAAATAAAATATGTTTAAAAAATGGTTACGAGTCCTTGATCTAATTCCAGTATCTAAAGAAAATGGGAGCTGTGTTTGGCTCACACAGATAATTTATGACAGGGACAGGTTATCAGAGCTCCACTCGTGACTACATCTCTGTGCTTTCTGCCATCCTGGGCGCTAGCGGGAATTGCGATGCAATTCATTAAATTGCCTCTCAGTCTCAAGAGATGACAAAGCCCTTGCCCTTGCTTCTGATTTAAGGTAAGATAATTTGGGCTGCAAGCAGGGTGCATCTTGGAGCAAGGAGGCCTTGACATCAAAAAGGAAGAGTCCTATTGGGACAAGGAGACAGCCCAGAGAGGCTGTCACCGAGGGAAGGTAGGTGTGCAGTCACAGTGAGGTCCCAAAGACTAGGGCTAAGACACAAAGAGTCTCAGCTTCTGTGTAACCTCACCCAAGTCACTTCCCTGGTCTACGACCCAGTTTCCCAGATATGTAAAGAGTCCTTTAGACCACGCCCCTAAACCCCTTTTTAAAAGTCGGGGGCGTGGCTTAACGAGGCCCGCGCTTCCCGGGTCCCGCCCGCAGGCCCTACGTAGTGCTTGTCGCCCGCCGCCGCCGCCGAGGAAGCCGCAGTGAGGTCGTCACCCTCCGCCTCGGGGGCGGGACCCTCGCGCGTCAGGGCGGGGCCTGTGGTCGAGCTCCGCGGTGCCGCCGCCCCGCCCACGCCAATTCGCCGGTCGTCGGGCGCGTCACGTGACGGGTCGGCGGCGCTGGCGGTTGCTGTCAGCTGATTCCCGGGGTTGGTGGCAGCGGCGGTAGCAGCGATGGACTTTCTCCTGGGGAACCCGTTCAGCTCTCCAGTGGGACAGCGCATCGGTGAGTCCCTGGAGCCCCCCACAGGTCCGCCCCGGTGCTCCGCACCCAGCTTCGGTCCCCTGGGTGCCTCCCGGTGCCTAGTCACGGAGGCAGGGAGGGCAACGAGGCTGGCGTGTCGCTCTCCTACCTGGCCCTGCCCAGCGTTCCGCCCTCCATTGATTGACAAGAACGTGGGCCATTAGGAAGCCTCGGCTTGTGATCGATGTATACGACAGCCTGTAGGTGGGGACAGAGGACGGGTCCGGATGTCCACGGCGCAGCCAATGTGCGTCTGTTGGGGGTCCTGAATCGAGGGAGAAAGTTTTAGGGGTTAAAGGGACTGCGTTGTTGGCTGTGGCTGGGCCGCTCTACTGGGTCCCGCCTCCTGGGCTCTGGCCCGCTCCTTCCTTGCTCACCGGGCTCTCCGGACAGGGACACCTGAGAAGGGCTAGAAGTCCCTTCTCGGAGGACCGCGGAGCCCGGGGCTTGGCGTCTAGGGGGCGACTGGCCGGAGGGAGCCCAGCGCCGGACAGCCCGCGGCCAGGCCTCCCAGACCCGGGTCTCAGGACGTGTCCGCCTGGGCTCCCTTCTCGACCCAGCCCTAAATGGACCCACACAGACTCTCAGAACCTGAGCGGAAGGTGGTCGGAGAAACCCCCTGGGTCAGCCCGCCTCGGTGTTCCGTAGATGGGGCAGCCGAACGCTCGGGCCAAGCCGAGCCCAGGGCACCTGGCGCCTGGCTGCTGGTCCGTGGTTGTTTGCACCCTGGTGACAGGAGACTTAAGTTCTGTGACGCAGCCTCCCTGGGCCGAGGTTTCCTGGCCTGTAATTGGCGGGTGGTAATGGTTCCCACCTCCGTGGGCTTGCTGTGAAGATTAAATTTCTTAATAAATGTGAAATACTTAGAACAATGCCTGGTACGTGGCCAGTGCCGTATAAAATAAAAAAAGAGTGGTAATATTTATTATCATTGGGCTGGGCGCGGTGGCTCCCGCCTGTAAACCTTGCACTTTGGGAGGCCAAGGCGGGCAGATCGCTTGATCCCAGGAGTTTGAGGCCAGCCTGGGCAACGAGACCCCATCTCTACAAAAATACACATATATACAAAAATTAGCCGGGCAAGGTGGTGCGTGCCTGTGATCCCAGCCACTCAGTAGGCAGAGCTGGGAGGATTGCTTGCACCTGGGAAGTCGGGGCTGCGGTGAGACCTGATGGCGCCACTGTACTCCAGCCTGGATGACGAAGGGAGATCTCAATCTCCTGAAACACATACACACACAGAGACACATACATATCTGTACATATACATACACATGCGTACATATACATATATATTTACACACACACATTGTTCCTGAGATACCACCAAGTGACGATTAGGAATCCCTGGGAATTGCTGGGCAGTTGGTCTCATAGGGTGCTCATTCGTGGATACCAACACCGTGAGAACCGATGTGCCTTGGCCAAACAGCCACCCTTCTCCAGGCAGTGGTCTGGGTGTTCCCCATTCTTGCATGAAGAAACCATCGCATTACTGGGAATTGACTTGTCATCTTTTTGATGATGACTTTTCATCTTAAGTCCAACTGGGAAAATTTTAAAACAAGACATTCTTTCCATTCTTACTGTCTTGGAAGCCAGACCTCACTAAAGCTTGTCCACCCAGATCTGTGTTGTAACCGCCACCGTGGCTGTTGGTGGCTCTTCCGAGGTTTTGCAATCAATGCTCTCCAAAGAGGGAAGTGCCTGTCCAGGATTTACACACCAGGAAGCTCCTGAACCAGGGAGGTGAACTGCCCTCTCAAAGGACCCCCGCCCTCCCCTGGACACACGCCCACCCTACAGTGAGTCATGGTTTTGGAGCTGAAAAGGCAGCTCTCCTCTCATCTTTATTTTTCTCTGACTACAGAAACCACTGCTTTTATCACATGCCAAGTTTAAGACTTCCTACTTAAAAATAAACAAGTAAATAAAAGACCTGGTTTCAAAGTCAGCCGCATACTCTTAAGGCTTTCTGGAGAGGCTCACCTGGGTTCTGGATTTCAGTTGGTCAAAGAAAACTTCTCTTCTTACCCTGAAGGGTCGCCTTTTTTGGGTAAGAAATACTTCTGTCCAAAAAGAATGCTACTAATTCATAATACCTTAGAGCACAAATAGAATTGTACCACAAAAAGAGCCTTACCTTGGAGATCTAACTTGGTAGTTCTCATCAGAATTCCTAGGAGGGCTTGGTAAAGCAATGATGTCTGGGCCCAACCCCAGAGTTTCTGATTTGCCAGGTCTGGAGTGGGACTCTAGAATGTGAATTT